ATTTCTCCATTTCCTGTTTTTATTTTGTTTTGTTTTTTCATTCTTTTTTATTTTTATTTATTCTTGGTTTTTTTTTTTTCTATTTCTGTTTTATTTTTTAGATTTGGGTATTACACCTTTTTTCATTTTTTTTATTTTTTTATTTTCTATTCATTCCAATTATTTTTTCTCTTTATATATTTGTTCTGATTTTTTTATTAAAATAATAATTATTATGTAGTCTACTTGTCATTTCAATTCAGCCCCGTCTCGCCACCTCAAGTGTCCGCCACGGCGCCACCTCAACAAAGTCAGTCATTGCCTAAGATAATATCTGTTATCATATATGTTTATTTTTTTTTTCGACTATTTTTTTTTTTAAAATAATTCATCTTAAAAATTTGTCATTCTTCCTAACCCTTAGGGCATCTCCAACCGAAAATCTCATTTTTCACTCTAAAATGCAGTGAAATCAAAAAATGTCGTGATTCATCTCCAATCGAACATCATTTTGCCCCATAACCGTCGCTCTCTTCTTTTGCGCCTTTCTTCCGTAAGTTCGGTAGAGATCAAAAAATGACGCAGATGAACAGTGCGACGTCAACGCGATCAAATGGCGGAGGAAAAAGCGTTCGGTTGCGATGTTTAAGGGCCTCCATTCGATTGTTTGCCTAACGGTTGGAGATGATCTTAACTCTTTTGTATGATTTTCTTATACTCTACTCATATTTTTAGGTAAAATATCAATTAACTCCAAAAAAGTACGTAGAACGTGGTGGAGATGACAGCGTTTGGAAGCTTTTATTTTTTTGGGGGGGTAATTGCGTTTGGAAGCTCATGATTGTTCAGGAATCCTAGACAGCTTATGCAGATGATATTACTTTTGTAGATCTACTTGCTGGAGAAAGCGTACAACAGCATGTCTGCTCGATCTGGCAAATAGGTGTAGATTGGACTGACTCATAACTCTTTCTTGGCCCACATTTTTTTAAAAAAATACTATGTGGGTCGCCTGAACGCATAGAGATTATTATGTGCGGAATCTGATTCAAAAGTGTGTCTGATTTATACAAACCAGACGGTTCTCTGATGCGGACTCCACACATATATAATAGTCTATTCTGGAGATGATCCGAACTCCAAAATCATGTGAAGATATCGGAATGTATTTTTCTCTTTTGTATATAGGGTGTGTCCAAATGAAAAAAAAGTTTAGGTATTTTCACGCGATTGAAATTATGATAAAAAGTTACGTTTAAACTCGTAATGATCTCTTCATTTTTAGGGGTGAATTATTTTGATATAGCTCAAATTTTTAACTATTAAGATATTAATCATTTTAATTTAATAATTTTATGATTTTATTTTTATTTATGTCATTTTTTAGGTAGGTTTTTTACGGTGAAAATGCTTAAGCCATTCATCTTGAAAATGTTTTCATATATGTTTGATTTTAAATTTTTTGAAGAAACTCTAACCATTATGTAAAAAAGGCTTCAATATTTCTAAGAGTTTAATTTTATTAAAGAAATTCACAATTTTCCCCTCTTTAATATCCTTAGCAAAGACTCATTCACCAAGCAAATAGTTCAAGAGGTAGCTTATGAGACCCCTTAAAAAAATAAATTTAAACTCTTAAACATCAATACACCTTATGTCATACAGAAACACTCTTCGAATAATGACTTACTAAAAAGTTACACCAATAGAACAAAAATGTAAAACTATTAAGCAAAAACTATTGCATAGCTCCGTTCATAGAACAATTTTATCATATCTAAGTTTTAAAAGACGACTGCCATGACGTAGTGCTTTGTATTATATGAGCACTTAGGCCTCTATTGAGATGACTTTCTTATTGCTTCTTAAAGCAATTTTTCAGCACACAAATTTTACTAAAAAATTGTTTTAAGAAGCTGTAAAAATCCGTCCCAAACGAAACCTTTGTTCTTTTCGTTTGATGTATTGCTCTGATATCATTTATAACAACTCAAATTCTTAACAATTGAGATATCGTCTCTGCGTGCAACTAATGACCTCATGCATAAACTTAAGAGTTTCTAATAAAATCCTGATCATCACACCGAAAGATACATCCATACTTAAAATTTTATCATTTCAACTAATTAATCGCCATAAAACAAAATGAGAAAATCATTTTCAGTTACTCTCTAAATCTTTGCTTATCCTAACTAGTCCGGTAATCCTTAATTAAAATAATAAAAACAATTAAACAATAATTAATTAGTACACAGAACTACTAATTAGATTTTAAAGCTCAAACCATCGTACTAATTAAGCTGGTATTTATAGAGATCAAAGAAGATATCGAACAACTGAAGGTGATAAGCGCTTGACTGAATATTGCAAATCGCCATTACAACTACCCGTCGCCGTGCCGGCTAAGCCAACCAGAACCAAACAACTAAAAGAGCTAACTGAAACAAACATACAGAACATCGTTACAGAGCTATCGATACACACCAACACATCCCTGATCGATCACCACTGCGATCAGAGAAAAATTCGTATCATTCAACTGATGAGATTTCTTCCCCTAATTCTACTTCTTCCGACGACTTACCTTTGCCCTCGCATCATCCGCACGAATTCATCAAAGCAAACGAATCCATCGCCGTCGGTATCGACGACGCCGATCATCCGTCGACAATTTTCAAGCGTGCAGAGCTCGTCGCCGAGAGTGGTGAACACGCCGCGGAGCTCTTCAGCAGAGATCTTTCCATCTCCATCGCCGTCGAATACGGCGAATGTCTCTCTTAGATCAGGGGAGGCAGGGCCACCAGTGTCAAATCCTAGCGCGGCGATTTCCTCCACGCTGAATTGACCGTCTCCACGCCGATCCGCCTCAGCTAACATCTCCGCGACCTCGTCTTCCGTCGGAGGCTTTGGCTGAAGCCGCCGAAGCACGATCTCTAGTTCTCGCCGCGTGACCTTTGTACTTTCCCCCTCGGCCGCACCGGACGCCGCTTCAAAGGACGAAGAGCTACTCTGCTCCTCTCTGCGGCGGCTGGCTCTGCGCCGGGGCTTTGGAGACAGAACGGATTTCGGGGTGGTGGTTTGATCGTTGGAAGGGGATGAAGCGTAGTTCGAGGCTAAGGATGGGGTGGTATCGCCTCGGCTCTTTTTCTTGGAGGAGCCGAATAAGAAGGAAGAAGGGCAGCTAATGATCCTCATGGATATTGTCTTGCTTGTTATGTGAACTAATGGATGGGAGAAATTTGGAGGGAGGAATGCCTGAATGCGATGGTTAAAAGAAGGGATTCGGGAGAGTGCCCTTCGCGGAAGCTTCGCCGGATTTCAGGATTGAAATACTGGCAAATTGAGAACAGTACTTAGTGCTTTTTGTTTTTTGGCGCGCATATCGCCATCTTCAATGTGAAAATGGTGACATAACAAGTCGCTTGCTATGGTGAGAAGGTGATGGGGTAGTGGTGATCGAGGACAAGGGAAGCTTCTTAGCAGCTTCGGTTTACTGGCTTTATGGAAGGGAGAGACGGTGAAGAAGAAGGTCAATAGGACGGATATGCGGTAACAGGAGGCGCAGGGCAAAGTGGGTTTACTGGGCAGTCTCCGTCGTGCAGAGTTGCAGTGAGGTCACCTGAGTGTTGCGTAGCAGTTGGGATGAAATTGCTTGGAGTGCTTACTTTTGCTGGCTCAGCTCACGAAAACTTTTCCATGAAAAATCTGGGTCGTAGCTGTAGCTGGCCGGATATCGAGGCGCAACTTCATGGTGGCTTGCAGCCCGTTGTGCTTCGTTTCATGCTGCCACCCGCGACAAAACGTGGAACTTGCTCGACTGGTAAGAATCTGGGTCTCCCACCTTCTATTTTGTTATTCTCATCTTTTTTTAATTTGCAAATTTTTAACATTATCATCATATGATCATAAACTTTTTTTTTATGAGAGGGAGTACACTTTTGTTTTGATGTTTCCACAAATCTGGTTTGAAAAGAAGCGAATCGATCTTAATTTAAGGATGCAACTCTTCTTAATATATTGATTGGGGCTTATCCAAACGAGCTAAGGGTGTCGATATTTGTCACGGCCCGAATATTCTACATGAATATGTTCAAAATTTCGGGTTAGGGTCAACTCGAACACAAAACAGGTTGGGTTTGGGTTCAACCAATCGACCCGTTTCAGAAACTGGGTCGAGTTCAGTTTGACCCAGAAATTGAATTGACACATTTGACCCGAAAGCTCAATTTTGACTCGAAAATCAGAAATTGACCCATTTTCTAACCCAAAAACTTGCAATTTTTTGTCGGATTTGAGTCATTCGGGTCGTGTCGGGTTGACCCACACGACCTGAAGCGGATCGAGTTCGGGTCCGAAAAATCATCCAGTTTGTAAAAATGGGTCAGGTTCAGGTTGACCCACATAGTACCAGATCAGTTCGGGGTTCGACCCTAAACCGACCTGTGACCTGAAATCGACACCTCTAAACGAAACCCCAAAGCCTTTGCAGTGGCCACGGAGCTCCAATCGAACGTCAGATTCAACGCCATTTTGCGCGAGGTGAACAATATATTAGCGTCTCATTGTTCATGTACGACATTTTTCCTTCATTTCTTCTGGTTGGAGAAGGAATATACTCAATATTCCTATTTTATGTTAAAAATGGAGTTCTGTTGGAGATGAATTATTGCATTTTAGAGTATTATTGTATTTTGGAGTGTAAAATGAGATTTTTTGTTGGAGATAATCCAACTAAGAGGTCTTAGATTCTAGTCTTATGTTTGTGATGTGTGTGTGAATTTGTCTTAATTAACCTAAATGTTCAAAAAAATTGATTTAAGGTTTGTTAGCTTTTATTGCAAAGTTGTTAAAAAAATAATTTCTTTAATTATTATGAATATTATAAATGTTTTTTCTTTAAAAAATCATATACTAGCTTATTTTTTAGTTACTATATACTATCATCTTTTAATAAAAATAACAAAAAATTAGTAGCTAAAATAAGCGAAACAATTATCTAGAAAATAAAATAATAAAAAAGCTATTCCAAACATGCCCTTGATATAGTTCAATTTACTAAAGCTAGTGCCTGGCATTCGCGTAGACTTAGAGAGGATAGAACGGTCTGAGAATGTTTGATATAGTTGAACGGTGGCCCTAATTGACTCGACCAATTTGGACTGAGTCTTCCAAGTCAGACTGATCTTCTAACCGTTGTGGTCTATTGTTAAGAAGTCGGAATCCAGCTCCAGTGAAATTGCTGTCCTCGACTCCGCCAATTAGGAGCTGTCACTCCAATAGCTAGCCTCCATTGCTAATTATTACGTTCGGTGTCTGGATTCAGATGTGCCACGTCACCCAAATACATCGGGGCCCAGTGTATTCGGGTGACATGGCGCATCTGGATTGGGTGTCCGAATGTCCGATCATTAATAATTCGCCCTATTGACGTGCCTTCATTTAAGGCGATAGCTTTTTTGGTCCTGAATCTTCTCTGAATTACTAAGCCCTTAATGTATGTTGCCTCGTCACTAAGCATTCATTTCTAAATGGTTTTTCACGGAGAAATCTAGGTTCCTAACATTCTTGGAAGATATTAGTGCATGCTAACTTCCATCGAAGCTAACTAGAGTAGTGGATCTACTCTTGTTGCGGGCTGAAATATACGCGACAATAGAGTTAGAAAATTTTCGACTCAGCGTTGTACGAATATCCATCACACAAATAAAAGTAAAATGTAACACCAAATTTTTTACATGGAAATCCTGGAAAAGGAAAAAATGAAGGCGCCGCGATCAGTTGAAAGGATTCCACTTAGCTTATATTACAAGTGGCTGACTCGTCCCTAAAATTAAGGACGATTTGTTTACAATAATAAACTATCGTGTTGAAATTCAATTACAAACGGAGACAGGAAATTTGGCGATGTTTGGTGGTCGGGAAAAAATCCGGCTACAATTGACGGTCGGGCAAAAATTCGACGTCAGTCAGCTATCAGGCAGAACTCCGGCGTCAGTCGACGGTCGGGCATAACTCTTGCAGGTGGAAGTCCGGTGGTCGTCAAGGAAGAGTCTGGCGGCAATGGAGTTCTCTTCCTTCTCTTCTTACTTCTTTGCTTCATTCTCTTCTCTTCTTGCTTGGGTTTGTATTTTCGAGACCTTAGTTCGATTATAAATTTGCTGAAATCGGAGTTCAAATGGTCCCGGATTTAAATTCTTAAGTTTTTCAACTTGATTTTTGCCTCAAGATTCGTGCCTGATCAATATAATTTTTGATAATATATCAACTTTTAAAAAAAAAAATTTAATTGATAATCCGCCGCACAAGACTCTAAGGTTTCGTTTGGAACAGGTTTCTTTATTGCTTCATAAAACAGTTTTTTAAGTAAAAAAAAAATTGAAATAAAAAATCTTTAGTAAAACCTAAATCTTCACCAGCAATGTGGTCGGTAGATCACAAAGTTATAAACAATGCTATTTTAAGACCATAGATCAGAGGAAAAAGTTGGTTGCGATTGCCATTGACCAGCACTGACCTTACAGGTGAACTCCAATCTGATCAGGTTAACTGAAATTGGTTAGGAGCAAAGTGTAATTTTGATTTTTACGGTAAGAAAATAATAAATTTTTGGTTTTTTTTTTTTTTTTTGACAAAGAAGGCTATAATCTGCTAGAGTACATGCTTTGATGGAACTTGGAGTAAATTTTTTTACTTCTTTTATTTTGTTTTTTTGATCGATTTACTATAAAAAATCCATTGGAAACCTTAAATTTTTTTATTTTAAATTTTGGCAAGGACATCATGGTGAGTCATTCCATATTATTCATATTCAATTAGTCAATCAATATAATGAAGACTATATTATAAACATAAAATGAGATTGCACAAAATCATCAAAGCCTAACCCTGACCAACCTCGACTCGCTCCACGTGATCGTTTGCCTAACCGTGACGTCCCTCTCTACCACAATCATCATGAAATTACTACTCCTCTTTGCCACCTTAAACCCTCGATTTAATAGCTCGACGCTAGGTCATTGCTCTCATATGCTAGTTCTACTTTCCTTTGTAGTTGTTGCGGGTCAGAATATTCGTAACGGTAGATAAGTGAATAGCTTAATGTCTTAGCTTTAATTGAATATATTGCACACATACATATAAATGGAGAAGGGTGCAGTAATCATAAGAGACACCATAATTTTTACATGAAAAAATCCTAAAATGGGAGAAAACCCACTGGCTTTGGCGAGTTAAAAAGAATTCACTAGTCTTTATTATTGATTACAAATGAGACTGTTCCTCGAGATAAGGCCTTGGCTTAATATAGCAAATATACATCATAATGAGTACATTACATGGTTGGAGTTGGAAGAATCTAGTGATATGAGAGTTGTTCTCAGGAGAAAGTGAGCCTGTTTGTTTTGTCAATAGGACCGTAGTCAGACAACGGAGGTCGGAGGGACCATAGTCAAGTGCCCGAAGGTGGTTGGAAGTACCATAGCCTTGCGTCCAAAGGGTGTCAGAGGGACCGTATCAGGCGAACGGTGGCTGGGCGGAGGTCCAGCGGTGATCTATGGATGGGTGGTGGTCTGATGACTATTTAGTGGTCAGGCGGAAGTCTGACGAAATTTGACGGTTGGCAAACGGGTAGAGGTTTAGTGGCAATAGGCGGCAGAGCGGATATATAATGGCGGTTGGTGGTCTGGTGACGGTCGATAGACGGGCGGTTGTTCGGGGTTGGGCATTGATCTTGCAATGGTCGACGAAAGTTTGTTGGCGGTGGTGCTTGGATAGAACTCTATGATCTTTTAAGTCTCAAAGCTCTCTTCAATCTTCAATCAAAGGGTCACTTTATAATGCAAACATGATGCTATTTATAGATTTTCATGAGTGACACACTCTGTATATATGGAGAAGATACATACCAAATTTGGATTGCTCCATCAGACGGTTCATATTGATTCTCGTGATCATATAGCATTTATTCATGCATTTAAGTGCCATAATGATGTCTAAATTAAGCGCTTAGGCTCATTAGATTTGTCTCGTCGATCCACTTATTTTGACTATAAGCATGCTATATTTGGATATCATTCGATCATTCAATTTATACTTTGAACCTCTCAAATGTGCGTTACCCCTCAATTTGGACTCATTTGGGCTCGAATTGGATTGATTTTAGTATTGGTATGCTCATCTCTTCTAGAAGTTTAGTATGACTATAAGTTTGCTGAAATTAGAGTTTAGATTGCCCCAAATTTAATTTTGAAAGTTATCAACTTATATATGCTTCTAGATTTGTGTTCGATCAAAATGATTTTTGCTGACGTATCAATAGCCATTAAGCCACATTGGCTAAGGAACCCTTCTCTTCTCTCTCTCCCCTTTCTCTTTCATGCTTTGACCAAGAAATCAAGAATAGAGCATCCTCTTTCCTCTGACTACAAGTCGATAACATCGAATCTCCCTTATATTCTTCTTCTTCTTATTTGGCCAAAAGCTATTGATGATGACAAACCCTTTGTCCTCTTCTTTCCCTTTGTCTAAGAGGTCACCATTAATCTTCCTCTCCTTCCTTGTCTTTATAAAAAATTACCTCAATTTTATTAATTAAAAATTTATTAACACCTAAATTTTTTTTTCCAAAATACGAAAAAGAAAAACATCAAGCTCACTCCTTATGATATCTTTAATCTTATAAGCTGGATACTACAATGGGTTAAACATATAAAAAGAAATCTTAATAAAATTATAAAATTATACCAAACATAAGTAATCATGTAAAGAAAATTCTAATGAGGACTTACATATGACCATTAAGCACAAAAAGAATTCTCATGCGTGCTCTTCTTCGCAATCATAAGGCATTTTATAGATTCAAAAAAATTATGAAATCGATTCAAATCATTGAGCACATCTAACTAATTAT